AATCGAGACTGAGCCAGCCGGGTCTCGTTTCGGTAAGCATTCGAACGAAACTTGGATATTCGCGACGTCGAAGGAGGGGGACCTGCGGTAAGGCATACCGTACAGAATTATTAGGCGCGACCTGCAACCATTGCTCTTTCCAGGGATCTAGAGCAGACTCGAAAACTCTTTGAAAAGTACAAGCCAACCCATGTTATTCATCTGGCAGCAGTCGGTGAGTGGACTGCGCATCGATAGCGTACGATGTCCTGATTCCGTATCCAGTGGGCGGTGTATTTGCCAACATGAGGAGTAATGCCAGTGCCTATCTCTATCCTGGCTTACTTGTACATTGACACCACTGCAGGCCAGTTTCCTGAGGGACAACCTTCTCATCAACGACAACGTCCTGCACACGGCCTACCTCTTCAAAGTCCAGAAAGTCGTGTCGTGTCTCTCGACGTGCGTCTTCCCGGACAAAGTCACCTACCCCTTGGATGAGACGAAAATCCACCTTGGCCCACCGCACCCTAGCAACTTTGGCTACTCCCATTCAAAACGGACAGTGGATATCATTAACCGGCGCGTCTGTTATCCATTGATGTCGATATACAATCTGATCGTCTACTGCAGTGCCTACAAGGAGCAGTACGGCTGCAACTTTACCTCTGCCATCCCCACGAACGTGTTTGGGCCTCACGATAACTTGTAGGCTTCTCACGCCATATCGATTCCCCATCTTCATTATTGTCCTCAGTGATCTGGAAGATGCTCACGTTATCCCCGCTCTAATCCACAAATGCCTGCTAGCACAGAGTATGTCGCATAATCGCGTAACGAATTACCTCACCCATTGTATTACATTCGCAGAGAACAACACACCCTTCATCGTCGGTGGAACTGGAAAGCCTCTGAGACAGTTTATCTACTCTCACGATTTAGCCAAAATGTTTATCTGGCAGCTTCGGGAGTATGAAGATGTTGAGCCTGTCATCTTTTCCGGTCCGTGTCGCCGTTTCTTGCGGGATTCTATATTCTGAGGGGCCTATCTAGTTGGAGAAGACGAGGAAGTCACTATCAAAGATGTCACAGACGCCATTGTAAAGGCACTGGACTTCAAAGGCGATTATACCGTAAGTGATATGTCTTTGACTATTTGTACTGCGAGACGCGTTTGTACAGTTCGACACCACCCGCGCAGACGGCCAATACCGTAAACCTGCCTCCAACAAGAAAGTGATCTCCCTCATGGGAGGCTTCCAGTTCACTCCTTTCCCTGAAGGTGAGTATCAAACGCGAATCGTTAACGGGTTACTCATCGCTGTGATATAAAGCTCTCGACGCAACTGTGTTGTGGTTCTTGGCGAACTATGATACCGCCAGAACAGGATTTAAGAAGTAGATACGTAGAATGGACAATTTCGCATTAGATGCACAATGGAAATCAACCAGATTCATCCCGTCACTGGGGGTATACGCAAAAAAAAAAAAAAAACAACGAATGTCCAGTCCGTGGTCTAATACAGCAAGCTACCTCCTTGGGATTTGTACAGAATAATACCTAATTTTGATCCTCTACCAAGCTTTTGACAGCCTTGAGGTCCGCCTCAACCATCTCCTTTACCAGAGAGTCAAAGTCAACCTTGCGCTTCCATCCTAGAAGACGCTCAGCCTTTGCAGGGTTTCCAAGGAGGAGGCTATGACAACCATGAGTAAAGGTCGTGTGTTGATATCAGGGTGTACATACTCGACTTCTGCCGGACGGAAGTACTGTGGGTCGACTTTTACGACAGCCTTGCCCGTCTTGACATCAATTGCCTCTTCATCTACTCCTTGGCCAGACCATCTGTATGCCAATATAAGTAAAAGCAAACTAAAGAGGGGCGCAGCGCACTTTAGCTCAATATTAAGCGCCGCAAAAGACTTGTTGACAAACTCCCGAACAGGGTGAGTCTCGCCAGTAGCAAGGACGAAATCCTCAGGAGCGGGCTGCTGCAACATGAGCCACATCCCTTCGACGTAATCGCGCGCTATCCAAGACGTAAGAAGAAGACAAGATATAAAAGTCGAACAATACCCACCGTGTCCCCAATCACGCTGAGCATCCAGATTCCCGAGGTACAAGCACGACTGCTTTCCCAGCGAGATATCAGCAGCCGCCCTTGTGATCTTCCTTGTAACGAACGTCCGGCCTCTCCTTGGGCTCTCATGGTTGAACAGGATCCCATTGCACGCATACATCCCGTACGCCTCGCGGTAATTGGTGACTATCCAAAAGGCGTAGAGCTTGGCGCACCCGTAGGGTGACCGGGGGTAGAACGGGGTTGTCTCACTTTGAGGGGTCTCCACGACCTTGCCGTACAGCTCAGACGTCGACGCCTGGTAGAACCGCACATGGTTCTGGAGCCCGCAGGTCCGGATGGCGTCGAGCAGTCGCAGCGTGCCCAGCCCGTCGACGTCCCCAGTGTACTCGGCCATTTCGAAGGAAACCTTGACGTGCGATTGCGCTCCGAGGTTGTAGACCTCCGTGGGCTGGACCTGGGCGATGATGTACACGAGGTTGGTGCTGTCGCTGAGATCGCCGTAGTGCAGCTTGAACTTGTTCGGCCCTGGGAGACGTCAAAGGGGGTATGGGCGAGCAGGAAGGGGCGACGTACGTTCATGCTGATCTTCGTACAGATGGTGCAGACGACCGGTGTTGAAGCTCGACGAACGGCGAATGATGCCGTGCACCTGGTAGCCTTTGGAGAGCAGGAGTTCCGTTCTGTTGCCCAAGAAAAATGAGAGAAAGTCGGGGAAGCTGTGGTGGTACGCACAGATACGAGCCATCCTGGCCGGTGATACCTGAACACATCCATGAATAGGCGCGCGATCCGACTGCAGAGACATACCGGAAATGAGAGCGACCTTTCGCTTGCGATACTCCTCTGCAGACGGCAATTCAGGCTTTGCGAATGGCGGGACGACGTCTGCGATGGACATGATGGTGGTGGAAGGAAGGAGAGGCTAATACTGGCGCCATGTTAGGTTTATTATTTTTGCTGCGGTCACTTTTTCGTTTCACAATGATCTTCTTCGATTCTTATCCGCTATCCGGACTGCGTTGCTACAGCGCGCCTTACTGACATCACGATACAGGGACTGCAGGGCAAATGCAGGCACAATTTCATAGACGGGCAGAATGGGACTGAACAAGACCCCATTCTAATATACAATATTCTTGCACAACGGCGACCATGGCCGCAAAATTCTTCGTTTGGGGGTCTCGTGCCATATGAAACCATCAAAGTCGGTGATTTCAGTGCTGATTCTGGTCCGTCTTTCGTCTTCACAAAGATTCACTCGTAGTTATCTACGCCGCAGATAGGCACGAATGCACGTAATTCATCTTGTCGGTAATAGAGGGCGAACTGTTGAAGGTGTCTTCTCAGTGAGTCGCTCGAGGTCGATGGAATACACACGAAATGCGGGAAACCTGAAGGCCAGAACATTGAACGCTCTAATATAGCAACGCTACAAGGAGAAAAGGATAGTAGCCGCCGCAGAATAAAATGCCGCAATATTCTCATGTCAATCAACAGTGAAAAACTGCATTTCACCGTGATCAAAGAGCCCGTCTAGTTTTGAGTAATGTTACATACTGTGTAACGGGAAATTTTTACCATCAGTACCTGCCGACGGAAAAATGATAAGCATTGCACCTACGCTTCCCACAGGATAGATGCATATATCCCTCGTCGAACCATAAGCTTCAAAGCAGTCTTGTCAGTCGACTGTGGTGCAAAAAGGGCTGGTACGATGCTGAAAGAATAGCACCGTATCGCATTCGGGAAAACGTCAGATGTAGAAGCGACGTTGATAGATACCTGACAACATGCGGACCTAGCATGATTTGATCATGATAATGGTATTCAGTCGGTTAAGCTTAAGGCGCCAGAGCGAACGAGCGTAGGTCCCGCTTGTCACGCAGAATATGCTGGCAAGTCTAACGTTATTATACAATGTGATTCTTCAGCGGCCTTATGCACTGTCAATGAAGAAGTATCAAGCGAAAGTGCATTATTGCACACCTATACAATGTCTGCAGCGGCCGCGGACTAGTAAGAGAAGATCTACCAGGGCCGTCCATGAAGCCTTCTAATTGGTCTTGGTCTTCCTCGAAATTGCTCGCCTGGTCAATATCCACGCTGCTGACAGGATACCACAGGGCGGACCCAACCAGCTCAGCACCCAAGTCCACCCAACAGCTTTCTCCAATTCTTGAACAAACGCGGTGACCTGTCCCTCAAGGTTCTCCCTGGTACTCGAGTTGTCGATCACAACGTCCGCGTACTTCACCTTGTCGCTGATAGGCAGTTGGGACGATAATCTGGCAGAGGCGTCTTCTCGCGTTGAGCCATCACGCTGCATCAGCCGCTCGAGTTGTACCTCCTCGGGACTAGGAAGACGGGATTGGCAGACGGAGTAAACACATCAGCAGCGACATACCAGTATACCACGGCAACCTGGGCGACCCACTTCCATATAGGCCCTTCAATAAGCAGCGGCACGTCCAACACGCAATACTTCCGTCCACAGAACCAATGCTTCACAACCTCCCAGACCATCATCCTCCGAATAGCAGGATGCAGAATTGCATTCAACCTCTTCCGCTTCGACTCGTCGCTGAAGATGACCGAGCCCAGCTTCTTGCGATCCAAAGATCCATCAGGAGACAGCACCTCCTGGCCAAAGTACTTGACAATTTGTTTGAGTCCTGTAGTACCAGGTTCGACGACCTTTCTCGCTATGATATCGGCGTCGACGATAGGAACGCCTTTGTCACGGAGCAGTGCAGAGACGGTTGACTTGCCGGTCGCGATACCTCCCGTCAGCCCTACGACTGGGACATGGTGTAATGTAGTAGGTAGCAAAGCATAGATGGGGACTCACCGAACATGACAAGTGCAGTTATGATTCTTGCCTGCTAAGTGAAATATTTTTGTGGGAATATAGATACCTCATTGAACGTACCATTATGTCCGATCTTAGCTCAGTTGGAAGAGCGTGGGACTGTAATTGGATACGGGTGCCTAGCATTAATTATCCCGAGGCCGTGCGTTCGATCCGCACAGATCGGAAATATATCTTTTGCAACCTTGTCTGGTTTACTTTTCACTAGGGCTGCGCACGAAACCTCCAGGGGGGGTTTGATACAGACTCCTTCCCATTCTCTTCAATGGGGGGTAAAACTGCTTCGCAGATGAGAACCTGTACTATATAATCTTATCTAATCTCAAATAATCATGTGACATTACAAAATTCCTGAACCTTATTTCTTTTTACCCCCCATTTAAGAGACTGGCATCTTTTGCGGTGGCGCGTTGTGCATGTTTGGCTGAATCCTCCCTTACCTCTCTTCGAACGCCCCACCCCCATCTGCCTCATGGCTTCTGTGCTTCACACGATGCCTGAAAAGGATGAAGAAGTCCAGTTAAGGGTGAACGCCGTGTTTGGATGCAGCCCCTGTCTATGGCAGATTGAGGTTGCTACGTATGAACTGTGACTGCTGCAGCCCACTTCCTGATGACATCCTCGTCTTGCTCCAATAGCAGGTCGGCAACCTCCTCCGCCCTTTCCCGGAGATTTGTCCGATACACATGTAGATTCTGCGCGACGTGCCCGAAGCGAAGGACCTGTACCAAGACATCAAATAGGGTAACATTGTTCTGTTCAAGAATGTTCATGATCAGGTTTAACCAATTTAAATTACTTTTGGGCTGCATGAAGCGTAACATTGTGAGAGGACGGTGTGGAGACAAGCGAAGGATTTATTCGGAAGGTAAAATTAATTAAATGTAGACTAAAATGTGCTGCCAATGAGGCAATATCCGGAACAGCGAGGTTGGCGGGATGCAAAGCTCCAGCCAAACATGGGCAACGCGCCACTGCAAAAGATGCCAGTCTCCTTGGTGGGGGGTAAAATAAAATAAGGTTTGAGAAATTTGTGAAAGTCACGTGAGTAGATAAGATAAGATAATCATGTCAGCTCAGATCACCCACAGCTGCGAAGCAGCTTTTACCCCCCACAAAGGAGAGTGGGAAGGAGTCTGGGTTTGATACCGTTTTGTACCCACCCTCCCTGGGGGGTTTCTTACCGGTCACGGGATCACTCACATGACCGACACGGAGCCGTTTTTCCAAATTCTTCTGTACCACGCCGTGACGCTACGTTGCCGCATTGCCGTACCTCAAATACTCATGAATTCTGTCCTGATAGCCATCAGAATTCTCTGGATACATCTTCTTACTTCTTTATACACATCTAAGTCTGAGAATCCTTCTCCCCAATCCAACATTAGCTCTAAGGAATTTGCAAGTTCGTTGTCAGGAAGAGGCACCATGCTTTGAGCTGCGACTGCTCTGCAAAGTGAAATCACAAAAAATGTGGTGGTGATATTGTCATGTGGTCAGTAAGTTACCTCAATGAAATATGCTCCACTGACCTGTAGTTTCTTACTGTTTCTTACTGGTAACTTACCAGTCCAAAACCAGGGTGTATCAAAATGTTAGGGCCGACTCTCACATGACTCAAAGTCGGGTGATTGCTAAGCTGTCTCGCATTCGGACAATCACTTTGGCAACACCTTGGATGACCTCGAGGTGATGAAAGAGGCGCTTACTAGAGAAGCTCTCGGCAAGTGAGCAGACAAGTAAAGTTTATGTGTAGGTAAACCTTAGCTCGAAGCTGAGGTTGTACAGTGAAGCATAGCTACTTAAATACTAAAGAGTTGGTACTAATAATAGCTACAAAAGTTTTGCAGAAGTTAAGAGGCATGCTGGTCAGGTGACAAGCATGCAATATCATGCGTTGTCCATCATGAAAGATTTATCGAAGCTGATATTGGCAGTTATGGGGTGATAGTGCATAAGCATGATGTTGGAGATATCGCGAGAAGCTGCAGGAAGAGTGTCGAAGGTTCAAGTCGGCATAATGCCGGGTGACCTTTGGACCGATACTTACTTGATATGGACGACTTTAGTAGAACATTCTAGATAGTTTTCGTAGTATAAATACAGGCTCTGTAGGAGCCAGAGAATCTAAGTTTATTAGTCTGGCTCTACCAGCCACTAGTCTACCCACTGTGAACCTACCATTCCCAACACATGATGACGCCGATAAGATGAGATAAGACTAGAAAAGTGAAAAAAGTCAATAAATCGTAACATTACCCTCTCGTTAAGGCAGTCGGGACGACTGCCCTTATGTCTTCTTCCTAGGGTTCATCATCTTCCTCTTCTTGGTCGCAGAGTATGCAGTTTGTGACTTCCTTCTCGCTCTCTCTTTCCCAGTAGTCGTCAATGAATGTCTTCCAGACCTCTCAGTCAGGTTCTTCAATCCAAAACTTTTTCCCATCGATCCGTTCTATCTGGTAGAACATGCTCCATCCGCCTGTGGTTTGGTTTTTGTGATAGTCACAATCGACTATTCGCTTGACTGCCTTTTGGGACCTGTCGATTACCCTTCATGCCGTGATGACTGGTGTGCGATTGGTGAGTTTGGTCTCGTAGCCTTTGATGGCTCCTCGGGCATTTTCCATGTCGTCTTCTCGTACCCACGAATTGTGTTCTCGGGTCCATCCCTTCCATTTGATGAAGTAATCCGTTACTAGGCGAGATTTTTGTCCTTTCTTGCCACGGACTCGACGTGTACAAGAGTCCAGGACTTCTTTGACTTCGTATTCCTCCTTGTCTTTGATGAGATCCGGCAGAGGCGGAGGGGGTTGTTCCTGGTTAGGGAATGCTGGTGGTACGTATGGAGTAAGTAACTTTTCGTTGAAGCACAGGTGGATTTTCCAATGCGGGGGAAGCTTCAACTTATAGGCGGAAGTGCTGGCCTTTTCCAGTATCAGGAATGGGCTGACACATTTGTCGTCGAGCTTCTTTTTTGGGCAGGGAAGATGAAGGTTTGTCACATCCAACCATACCCGATCTCCAATGGTGTACTTGACAGCATCTCTTCTCTTCTTGTCATGTTGGGCCTTCATCTTTCCGGCAGCCTCTTCTAGTGCTTCCTTGGCTTGGTGGTGCACTTCCTGCATATTTTCTGTGAATGACTTTGCTGATGGATTGGTGAACACGGTGGTCTTAATGGAGTCCAGTAGGACATGGGGATTCGTCCCATAGTTGGTGAAGAACAGTGTCTGTCCTGTCGCTGAATGGACTCGGTTATTGTGAGCGAACGCTGCTAGGGTGAGCCACTCGCTCCAATTGGTCTGATGATGATTGATGAAGAGTCGGAGGTACTTGTTGATTTCTTGATTGGCTTGTTCGGTTTGACCGTCGGTTTGGGGATGGAAAGCGGTTGATGCATTGGGTGTGATATCGAGGAGTCTGAGAAGTTCCATCATGAACTTGGAGACAAATTGAGGTCCTCTGTCAGAGATTACCGTTTTAGGCATACCATGGCGGGCATATACATAATCGCGTAGGAGCTTGGCCCATCCTTCGGATGTCAGCTCAACGTTACAAGCGATTGGGATGACTTCTTTAGAGAATCGATCCACAACTACTAGTATGGCATCATAGCCATTGGATTCTGATAGTCCAGTGATCATGTCGACCGATATGTGGGTCCATGGTTCAGATGGGATTTTGTTTGGGTGAAGGGGTGCGGCCTTGGGGTGAGTGTCTGTCTTCATTCGCTGGCATGCTTCGCATGCCTTGACATACTTTTCTACCATCTGTTTGATCTTTGGCCACCAGAACTCTCTTTGTACGAGTTCTTTCGTCTTCTCGATCCCTGGATGGCCTGCTGTGATATGGTCATGGTGCACAGTGATGATTTCCCTGCATAGCTTGTCGTTGCAGGGAACATATATGTGTCCATCGTAGTAGAGGAGTCCCTCCTTCTCGGATATGCCATGCTCATGGTCGAGGGAGTTCTGAATTCCCTGGTCCCACTTGTCATGGTTGCGAGTGACATCCTTTATGCGCTGGTGAGTTTCGCTGATGGTGGGCATGATCATGGCCTGGAAGTGTTTGGGTTGGAGGACTATAACATCATCATTATCCTCTTTCCCTTGGTCATGATCATCTTGTCGACTGAGTAAGTCCGCCTTTCGATTGGAAGCCCCAGGCTTATGGTGTAGTGTAAAGTGGTACTCTGCGAGTTCCATGACCCACCGGGCTTGTCATCTGTTCAGCTTCTGGGGTTGGTGGAAGTATTGTAGGTTCTGATGGTCCATCCAGATCTCAAAGTCTTCGGCCGCTCCCATTAGATAATGTCTCCACTCCTCCAGTGCGAGCATAATTGCAAGGAGTTCCTTGTCATATATCTCGTAATTGCGTTCGGTGACGGTCAGTGCCTTCGAGAGGAACACGACCAGTCTCCATTTTCCATCCTGTTCTTGGCTAAGGACAGCGCCGATTGCTCCGTCGCTGGAGTCTGCTTCCACTTGGAATCTCCCCTGTTCCTTTGGTAACGCCAGTACCACGTCTTCAGCCATCTGCTTCTTTAGTCATTGGAAGGCCTCATTCTGGGCCATTCCCCAGGTCCAAGGGGCGTTGCCAGTGAGTTGAGTCATTGGTCGTACAATCTTGGAATAGTCCTTTATAAACTTCCGATAGAAGTTTGTAAAGCCTAGGAAGGATTGTAATTCCTTCTTCTTGGTAGGCGTGGGCCATTCCGCGATGCCTGCAACCTTAATGGGGTCCATACGAACTGATCCTTCACTGATGATGACTCCGAGGTATTCGGTCTCTAGCACCTCGAACTCGCACTTCTTGGCCTTCAGGAAGAGTTTGTGTTCCCTCAGGCATTGGAGTACTCGCTTGACGATTCGTCGGTGTTCCTGAAGATCCTTGGAGAAAATTAAGATGTCGTCCAGATAAATGGTCACCTTCCCTTCGTGGATGAGGTCATGGAAAATGTCGTTCATCATCCACTGGAAAGTTGCTGGTGAATTGGTTAGCCCAAAGAACATGACTGTGGGCTCGAAAAGTCCGTGATTGGTTCGGAAGGCTGCTTTGGCTTCATCCCCTTGTTTGATCCGGACGTTGTTATAGCCCCAGCACATGTCTAGCTTAGTGAAGTATTTTGCGCCACGGAGTTTGTCCATGAGTTCAGAAATAAGAGGCA